GTCTTGCATGCCAACCTTCTGGTCCGCATCTGGCGGTGGCAGCGTGGCGTCTGACAGCGGCGGCTGTTGCTTGGTGTCTGTGTCTGGTGCGTCTGGCAGCGGCTGCTTGGGCTTACGTGTCTTTGTGCGTGAAGCGGAGCTCTTTGCTGAAGGCTTGAAAGGTTCTGGCTGGTCTGCCGCAACCGCTTGGTCTGGCTCCTTTGAAGCGGGGCTATTCAACTTTTTGGGCGAGGAAGGTTCAGGCTTGCCCCCAACAGGCTGTTGAACTACTTGGCTTGCCTTTGAAGGGGGGCTCTTTGCCGGGAGCTTGGGAGGCTCTGGCTTGGCCGCTGGCTCCTTGCGAGGCTCCCCCATTCCTTCAAAAAGCTCAGGCACGACTGCTTGGTGTGGCTTGTCTGAAAGAGGGTCCTTTGCTGGAAGGTTGAAATGTCCAGGCTTGGTTGCTGGCTCCTTGTGTGACCCGTTCTTCGCTGGAGGCTTGGAAGGCTCAGGCTTGGCTGCTGGCTCCTGTAAACGGGAGCCCTTTGTTGAAGGCTTGGAAGGCTCAAGGTTGTGGGCCGCAACCACTTGGCGTGACGCCTCTGAAGGGGAGTTCTTCGCTGGAGGCTTGGACGGGTCAGGCTTGGCTGCTGGCTCCTGTGAACGCGAGCCCTTTGTTGAAGGCTTGGAAGGCTCAAGGTTGTGGGCCGCTTGGTGTGACCCCTGTGAAGGAGAGTTCTTCGCTGGAGGCTTGGAAGGCTCAGGCTTGGCTGCTGGCTCCTGTGAACGGGAGCCCTTTGTTGAAGGCTTGGAAGGCTCAAGGTTGTGGGCCGCAACGTTTGACGGCTGCAAAGGGGAGTTCTTCGCTGGAGGCTTGGCAGGCTCAGGCTTGGCTGCTGGCTCCTGTGAACGCGAGCCATTTGTTGAAGGCTTGGAAGGCTCAAGGTTGTGGGCCGCTTGGTGTGACCCCTGTGAAGGAGAGTTCTTTGCTGGAGGCTTGGAAGGCTCAGGCTTGGCTGCTGGCCCCTGTGAACGGGAGCGCTTTGCTGAAGGCTTGAGAGGTTCAAGGTTGTGGGCCGCATCTGCTTGGTGTGGCTTGTCTGCTTCCCCAACTGCTTGGTTGGGCTTGTTTGAAAGGAGGCCCTTGGCCCCTTCCTTTTCACCCGCTCCAGCCATTGGGCTGAGTGTTGGAACGTCCTCAGAGTCCAGCCAACGCTTTTATAGGAAAAAAACATTCAGTTCCAAAGAACATGTGATGTTACGCACCTTTTTCACGGGTAAAAACAAAAACCGAGCCTCTGCCGTATCCTTGACACCTGCGTCAGTCAGCGCCAGGGCGAGACCCTCTTTTGCTGGCGTGGGCGTGTCCTGGCAAGAGGCGGGCCGCTCAAGGGAAAAGGGATGGGAAGAGCCCCTCCTCAATCTCATCATCCGAGATGATGCACAGTGCGACCGCAACCTTGGTTGTCTGAAGAAGCAGCATAACACGCTGTTAACTTTTGTAGAAAAGCACAAATTAAGACTGGAAACTGTGGTATGGCTTTGCTCAGCCACACCATCTTCGACATGCTGGGACAAACGTGCCAAAGGAGAGAGCGCAGCTCCCCCTAGAATCTTGGTAGACGGTGACCGGCTCACCCTGTTCTTGCATTCCGGAGGTGAGTCCTGCGTAGAAGTTGGAGAGTCATAGTTTGTTTCCTGTGAGTCCAGGTGGACAGTTCCCGCATGGCAATGGTTCCCGCTCTGCAGGCTGTGGCTATGCTCCTCTGCCATGTGGCGACCATCCAGGCAACCTTGTGCGGTGGGGTGGCAAGACCCAATATCAAGTGGTGGGTTCTCAATAAGGTCAGGGCCAAGTAGGCTTGAAGAAGGGACCTGAAGCGGAATCTCCCCAACAACGTTACGTAGCTGCTCAATTCCAGTGGGGACACGGCCAAGCCGAAACGCTGAGCGTAAGGGTTGCAGGCGATCTCCTCAATGGCCACGGGACCTGCTGTCAGGGGCGCAGGAAAACTGAAGCATGCGTGCAAAAAACCAGCGGCCTCCATCAGCTATAGCAGTCGGTGTTGACTCCATGATTGGGGCAGAACACTCGTCGAGCATATCAATGTCTTCGTCATCGATTTCGCAAACTGCGGTTTGCACTGGGGCTACGGCTCTGCTTGGCCTGATGGCTTGTTGCTTGTTCTCTGCGGGCAGCTTGTTACCTTTTCGACAACTCTCACGAGCCCGACGGGGATTGCTTTTCATGACGGCGGTCAACTGGGCAGCCACCTTCAGAGGGAGAACTGCGCGTTGTACCCAGCAAGCAACTGATCACAACATTCAAGCGACAAGGGGCCTCTCCAGCAGTTTTGCGGGTTGACGCTTTCCGCCAGTACCGGCGTGCATAACTGAGAATCGCAAAGACAGTGTACGCCTCCTAAGATGTGTTCAACTCAACCCCAAAAAATGGGCGCAGCACGGCTAATCTGGCCAATGCAAACACGCGTCGTCGTTTGCCCATCTGCGTTTCTCCTTTTGGAATCTTGCGCCCGACAGACTCCACGAAGCATCTTGGTCAAGCCGAGTGAACACCACCCTGAGGAACAGAATGGAGTACTCCCCTTGGCTATTGAAATTGATCACATCACTCCCCGTGCATCATCAAGTCAATGCTTTGCGGTAATTACAGGCAAAGCATCCTTCCGGTGAAAGGTCATACAAGGCCAACACCAAGGGCAGATACCGCTGAAGGTCCGCAAAGTTCACTTGATCAGGACGTACGTCCGGAAAAAGGGTATTGCCAGGTGATTTTTGCTTGGCGCATTCCAAAAAGGCTTGCCCGGGGATGTGCAGCTTGATTGCACCTGCAGCTATGCGCATGGTGGTACCCCCTCCTTTGACAAAACATGTTTTGTCCATGCACCAAGGGTCCCAGCCTATCACCTCCGCTTCTCTCCCATCCAGCACACCCATATTTTTTTGTGGCTCGCGTTTGAGCCCCGCTAGCTGCTAGGATGCGCGGGACTAGTGTTAAACTTTGCTCTTGCAAGCAAAGCAGCAAAGCACTCAAGTGCACGCAAACAGTCCTCTCCAGCATCGGCCGCGAGGCATGCGCTGGGCTGATCGTTCCGGCCATCAGCGCAGAGCGAGACACGCGGAAGGCAAAAGAGCGAGCCTTGCCTGACCCCTAAGATGTCACAGTGAACAGGTTGCGACGTCTGCCCTGCTGTGCCAACTAACTGCCTCCTGCAGACTTTTAGGGTTGGGCTGATGCTGATTGAAATTTGCGGGTATAATGGACGGGCCCTCGGGCCCTCAACTGCCAGAAAGCCAGGACCCCGCCACGTCAATAGCACAGTATTTGTGCCCGACCCCTCCTATGCACACTCCGACCCTTCCAATGCAGGTACCAAAGAGCCTTAGGGTTGTTTAATTATATTTCATTTTATTTATTTATGTATTTATTCATTTTTGTTTATTGTTTTGGGGGGGCCACATGTTGCGACAAACCCTAAGCTGGCTGTATTTCAGGGATGAGCGAGTGAGCAAGAGATGCCGAGCGCATGAATAAACCAATGAGAAAGCTTGAGGGCTCTTGTTGAACCAGCTTGCCTTTTCTTTTCATTTGGGGCGGTCAGTTTTCAGAGCAGTTCTGCCGATGGTTTCAGCCTCGAGCAGGGTATCAGGCAACCCTGAATTCGTTGTTTGGATTGGCGGCTCGCGGATTTGTTTGTCTTGCTCTTGCAGAGGGCAGATGAGAAACACATCTTGCGAAAGTAATATGTTTTATAGGTTAAACAAGTTTAAACAAAATAAACATGTCCGTTATTTTGTCGCGTAAAATCCGGAAATTCGGAGGAGAATGAGGATTCGCCATCCCTGACCTCCAAACCGCCAATCCAAACCACCAATTGGAGGGAAGCTGAGCCCTGAAGGCTGGCAGGGCTCAGACCCGCTTTCATGTGAAGCAACTTTCCACCTTTAAATTTGTTCTGCCCCCCCGCCCCCCCAGAAAGCACAGGACCTCTTGAAAAGCACGAGGAGCTTCTTGAAGTGATCCTCTTGATTCAAGTGACGACCTTTTGCTCCATTCAATGGTTGGAGGTCAAACCCACCATTCCCACCTTCCGCTGAGAGTAACCGGAGGAGGGTCAACGCCCATCAAGTGCCACCCCTTTTACACAAATCCCTTGCTGTCTCTCGGTGGGTAAATGGAACATCGGAGAAATCGTGTAAAACCAGGCCCTCATGGTTTTCAGTTTGGGTGGGTCCCGACACAAACCCCCGAGTTGCAAGGTGCAAATGTACTGCTTCCAGCGTAGAAGTCTTCAAGACGGGCATTTGCAGACTCACCCCTGGGGTGGAAGGGCAGAGACGGGTGGCTCTTCCTTTTAAGGTCAGACTGCCAAAATGGTGGTTGTCCTTTTGGTTTGCCTTCAAAACCAGCCAACAAAGGGGTAGCAACCCTAAAGACTCCTTTGCAGAGGAGTCTCAGTCTCAAGCTGACCAGTTCCTAGATTGTGCCCAGGAAGCGGCAGTGGACGACGTCAAGTGCCCAAAAACTTGATTGGGCTATTTTGTTTGTTTCTACTACCTGATTTGATTTTGGTAGCAAAGCCTTTTCAACGTTTTGGGTGTGTCTTTCATTTTGGGACTCCCAAAATCATAGTTGTTCCTCATCTGGGTTTCCTTTAAATCAGCCCCAATGGGTACCCTGAAAAAAGACACATGTGTTCTTCATATATGAGCCAGAATCAAACACAAACGGCAAGTGCGCACATGACTTTTGTGGGTCAATGCACCTTGACGGTTGCTTGCGGTTCCATGCAGGTAACAGCATCTTTTGACTCTGGCTCCTTTGTGTTGCCTCACAGCCCGAACGCTTTGGCCGCTTGGAAGAATAGGGATACTCCCAAGCACAAATAGGTGCCGCCTTGGTACCTCCTTCAAAGAAAGCACTGGGTTCACCATTTTACCGATCGATCAGTTTTGATCATGAGAACCAGAGTCCTTGGGCTTTGGGCGCTCATTGCCAGGTCCTTTGCTGCTTTGCCGAGGAGGCTCCAAGTTTCCGTCAGGGGGCTCACAGTGGGCGGACAAACTCCTACACCACTTGGGATAGATGAAACTCTTTTTGAATAATGGTTGATAAACCTCCTAATAGAAACCCAATGGTGCTTCCCTGTGAATATCAAGATATTTTGGCACCCTAGTGGTTGGTTTCCCATGGTTAAGCCGGGGCTCGTCATATGGATTCGTGCGTTCAGCCTTTGAATCTGAGTGCCAACGATGGGCACTCGAATTGGTGGTTTAGGGATTGCGGTGGTTTCCGATTAACTTTCTACAAGAGCCAAGGGTTGAACCCCCCCCAAGCCCTCAATCCAAACCCGCAATCAACCAATAATGATAAGCAAGCCACCAGGGTAGGGAATTGCTTTGGATCAACTAGTTTCCCTGCATTGAAGATGAGGGATTTCGGAGCGACCCGCATTGAGGGGAGACTCATCCAAAACAAGCCTTAAAGCACGGGCAAATTTTGGGTTTAGCCACCCACATTTTTGCCTTTGTCAGTTTTCTCAAACGGTTTGGTTTCCATCGGTTCGGGTCCTAAACGGTTTGGTCCATTCGGCTTCGCGGTTTTCGTTTCGTTGAAGTCAGTTGTTTGGCCTTCCCCCGACGAGCAGGGCCGGATTTCGATGGCAGATGGCTAGGGTTCAAGCCCATGTTCGGGAGCATGGCCGAGGACAAACGCACGGCCGTTGACCGGAACCACAGCGTGTACATGGCCGGGAGCGTGGTCAGGTGCTCCTTCGGGACCACGAACGGGATCCTGTTGTCCCTGGGCACGACTCTATTCATGACCTTGTCCTCGCTCTTGTACACGGACGCTCCCAGAGAATTTGGACATTGGCGCTGCGCTCTTTTACTACGCCTGACTCTCTGCCAGTGCGTCTTCAGTTCTATGACTCTTTTGGTATCCTGCCTCGGTTCCCAGCCATACCTTTAGACTGGTTTGTTGCGAGTGTAGGGGGACTTTAGCAGGGGATCAACGAACCTCCAAGCTGCAGGTGTAAGAGGAACACCGACTTCCGAGCAGTCGGCGGCCGGCAGTTATGGTGAAGGATCCGATTCGCTGCTTTGCGCACGTGATTCCTTAATTGATTGGGTGTGTCTTTGTTGATGGGACCCTTGTTTGGTGTGTTCAATGAGTGTTATACCGGGAAACCAAAGGGAAAACCATTTTTTCTTGGGTCCTGACTCTAAGACGCACCCACTGAAGTTTCAGAGCTCATTTTGTTAGCTGTGCTTAGCGTTTAGTCTTGGTTCTCTCTGAAATCATCCTCAACGTGGGTTTCTTCTTTTCAGGACACCCATATTCTCACACCCCTGTTTGGGGGACCCACCCCCCTAACCACACCCTCTTTGGAGAAGACAAGGGTAGGAGCAGTTTTATGATATTCATAATTTCCCATACCAAGGACCTTGCTTTTTGACTCTCCGCCTTCATCTTGGAGTTGAGGTTGGGGGTCAGGAAGACATGGGTCCCCAACCCATATTCAGAGTATCGGGCGATCAGTTGCGACGGGATTTTTCTTGGACAGGGGGCGGTGCGCCTTCCGCCCAAGCCGGGCCGTGCGGGGCCCGGATGCCACGAATTTCGAGGGCAGGGATCGGTTTCAGAGGGATCGGTTTCGTATACCACAGGGGTGCAGTACAGTGATGCAAGCTTATGTTGGTGGCAAGCGCCCACATCTCAAGAGCCCATTGCTGGACATGCCGGAGTCTCCTCAGCCTCTCAGGTACTTCATGAAACATGGTTGGGGCACCCGTAGCGTCTTTCCAGTATTCTATTTTAGGGTCCATTTAGGAGGGGCATGGGGACCTCTAAACGTTTAGGAAAAACACAGGGGACTCTCGAGAACAGTCGGTTTTGCCCGTTAGCAACAGTCCCAGCCAGAACTAGGTGCCGCCGCCCTCTTGATTCTTTACATGGCTTTAGGTAGACCACTTTGGCTGGGATCTTGGAAGCTATTTCATTGTTCAGGGTAGAAGTATGACACGGAATCTGAAAAAAAAAGAGTTTTGCGGTTGATCACTCATTTGGGATTTTTTTGTTGGGGTATACCTCAAGGGGCCGTGTCTCAAGCGCCCGCGCTGGACCGCGCGGGCCCAGCTCAGGTGAGGCGGAAGGTCGAGGCCCCATCAGCGCCAGGAGGCGCAGTCGCGGCAGTTGGGCAGTTGGTCCTTCAAATTTACGAGGGGTCAATAAGAATTTCACGCAGGGATACAACACCTACAGAACAACCACCATCCATCCGTGCATCACTTGCAGGTGTTGTTTTACCCCCCCGAATCGCCCACAAGAATGGCGAAGTTCGGTTTTTAAAGTAGCCTGATGATTTCCCACCTTGTGTGATTCCGTTGTTCCTCCTTTTGGTAGTTTTATTTGGCTGCTGGGCCAGTTTGAAGTGACTTTCCTTTTGGCGGGGGGATGATCTACGGGAGAATATAAGGAACCCTGTTTGGGGAGACGCTCCCAATTTTGGTTGTTTTCAAGGAAAAACAAAACAACAACGTCACCACTGGGGGCCCATTCCTCATTTTCCGTATGGGTTTGTCAAAAAATAAGGGACTCCAACAAATCGTGCTTTTCCCTTAGTTTCCCTTTACAAGAACCCCAAGAAGGGTTCTTCTCGAAAAAGGGCACACCATGATTTTGAAAGCCAAATGAAATTGCTCCAAACTCAGCTCGCATAGGTTGATTTGAATCGGTGCCTCGCTCCGTGCCTCAGAAAAGGGAAGCAAAGACACGACACGGAATTGGCGTGTCCCTTTGCAGGGGGGGGTGTAATTGGAGTGATCCCTTGGCGGTTCCCAACCCACCACGAATTTTCAGTGAAGCTGAGCCAGACACTGACTCAATTCAGCAGCGCCTATCGGCAGAACAGGAAGCATGAACTTGTTCTTGTCTTTGACAGGCGGGTTAGCTTCAAGTAGTCGTGCATGTTGCACGTGTTGCCCCGCAGGACAAGAGCATTGTTTGCAACGGACCCTGCGGCTGGCCAGATCGTGGCAGCCAGACTTTGGGGTGCTTTGTTTGCTCGTGATTCTCTCGTTTCACAAGTGCAGTACTCTGGTTAAGTGAGTGCAAAAGGCCGGAGTTTGCAAGGTCCTACTGTGGATGGACAAAACCCTGCACCACTTTGAAATCATGGGACAACATGGTTTGTTGGTATTTACAGGGGAAGCATCATTCCAGGGTTTCTTAGGCGGTACGAAATGGAGTTCGTCCCTCCACAGTACCTTTGTGAGGTACCAAAGCCCCAGGCCAGGCGGCCGCAGAATCTAACTGAAGCCCCAACGCCCCAGGTTCATACAGCTGGCCAACCCATTTGCCAGGGAGACACGCCGTTCGGGGCCATTTGGGTAAGAGCTAGGGGTATGTTCAAACACCTCTGGTTTGTTTTGCGGTGCATCCCGCAAAAGTGGCAACAAAATCCAGAGCTGGCCAGAAACTCAGTCAACTGGTCAGGATTCCTTCTGTCTCTCACGAACGGATGCCTGAACCGTCCAAAGCAGGGTTGTGGGATCAAGGGGTTTAGCCCCACTTCTGTAATACAAGGGAATCTCCCCCTTTATATGGGACGTTAGTCTTTGAGAAGCCCTTTCTGTTGTATCTCAGTGGACTCCATTTCCCACACCCCTGGTCCAAAGCAAATCGTCTTCTTTTCAGCTGGGTTGTACCATGCTTTAGGCATGGCAAAAGATGTTAGAGTCGACAACTGCCTTTCAGCCTTTCACACCTGTCATTGCGTTATGGCTGTTGAACATGGGGTTTTAGGGCCAGCTTCTGAAAGATACAAGGGGCATGCTTTCCTAAGTGCTAAAAGTAGTCATGGGAATCACCCGAATTTTATATAATATTTGTCACCGTAGTCATGGGAACGACCCCATTTGGTATTGATCACCGAAAGGTATCTTCCACACCGATTCGCCTTGTTTTCCTTGCTCGTGGGGGAGTTTTTGAGGTGGCTTCGCGCCAGGATCTTCAGCTACTTCGGCCTGGGGAACACCCCGGCTGCAACCTTTAGCCAGCAATGCAGGCGTGCCCTTCGCGAACCGAGCCGTTCGAACCGGTTCTCGGCTCTTGGGTTTGGGGTGTGGGTGACAATGAAAGGAGGCTCCATGACTTGGATCTTGCGTCCATCCAGGTAACTTAGTTTCACAGATGCGGACGGTGAGGAAGCTTGCTTCTCAGGATTCGCGATCCATGTCGTGTTGCTTTTGTTTGGCTTGGCGCTGCTTTCTGGCGCTTCAGATGGGCCCGAGAAAGTCAGGGATGCCTTCCATGGGGTTCGGTCTTTCGTTGATGCAGCGTGGACCGCCTGGACACAAAGAACTCCACGCGACTCTCATGGGACCGGTGGAGACCTTGCGGAGATGTATTTTCCGGAGCCGGCTCAGAGAACTCCGGCTGCAGACCCATGCTCAAAGACTGCCGGACACATTCCCATCTTCTGTCAACATTTCCTCAGTTTCCCTTCTTTGGACCTCCGAAGTTTCAGTGGAACCCTTGGTACCTGTTTTTGCACCGCCCGTGAGCTTGAAACCTAACTCTCAAAACTCAGAAGCTCTCCATGTGAAGTTTGGTCTATGGTTTATTTAGGAGCACTCACTCGGGAAACCCCGCGAAGAAACAAGGAAGTCACTCTCTTTCCCTTGTCCTTTTGGAACATTCGTAATTATTTGATGGCACACCGGCGTGTATCTTTCCATCGGGTTTGCCATTTTCGTGAGAGTCCCCCATTTTCCCGGTCCCTCTGAGCAGCCGAAGTACATCCTCAGAGGGTACCAAGGGACCCTCCAAACCATGGCCAGTCTCTTGTGGCCTTGCCCCTTGGGTCAATCTGGTCTAACGTGGGCAGTCGTCCCCAAAAGGGTACCAAATCAAAAAGACCTTATACTAATTCCCGTATATACATATACATACACGCATATACACATTACACAAGCATGTACATTTGTTTCCCCCCGCAGATCTGCAATTTTCTGCCATTTATCTTGGTTTGCCTTTGAAGCCACCAAAAAGGAAATACCAACTCTAAGAAAGACACACATATAAACCTAGAACATCCATGGATGCCCAGGCTGCTACTTCCAGCCAGCTGCTTTTCGGAGGATCCCCCGCCCCAGGTCCTGGTGAAGGACGTTTCCGGTTTCCCGGTGGCGCCTTGTCGGTTTTTTTTCTTCTTTTTTTTTCTATTGCAGGAATTCCTCAAAGACAAGCAACGAACAAAGCAGGGGAGTTTCCATGCCTGTCCAGGGACTACCTGGACCCTCAAACTACCAAGAAAGAAAGGGAATCCACCCCATTTTTTGGGGGGGCAGCCCATTTAGAAGGGAATTTAGAGCCAGGCAGGCTGTCTTGAACAAGCGAGAGTTCAACTGGTGTTGATCTTGACAGAATGCCAAGACTGAGAATACGAAACCAGTCTTGGAATTTAGAGGATGTTGATGTCGCGAGACATCAATCCACTTCCGGTTTCCATTTTCCGTGTTGGTTTGCCATGTCCAAGTCAGGCAGGAGGTGATTCGTTCTAAACTGGCCGGTTAGAGTCAGTAACTGGGCTTGTTTTGGCAATGAGACCAAAGCGTCCCACGTTTGCCCACATCAACCCCACTCATATATGGTGATTGCTTTCTTGCTGTCTTGCCATCGAAACCATCCAAAGACCCAAGGGGGCAAAACCTTTTTGTTTTTTCGGATGCCCCCGCCCCCCTGCTTTCACCCTCCTGCATTTTGGTAATAAACCAAGTGACATGGATGTCAATATGCAGGTTCGGGTTGGGAAAACCGGGGTCATCCAAAGATTCCTCTCCAAAGTCCCCCTTCCTACCCAAAAAACCCACAGGGAGAAAAGGCAAGTATCTCAGGGATTCTTGGAACGTCTGGTGGCTCGGGATTTTCGAGTGGTCGACCGGATCCGGGGCAGGATGGCCACACCGGACTCGTGTCGGGTCAACTGGTAGGACCTTTGGACGATCCTATACAGCCAGAAGAGCCGGCCTGCAACCATGATTGCCGAGAAGCTCAGCTGGGCTGGGAGCGAAAGACGGCAAGATTCGTTTCGCGCCCGTTGGGAGGTGACTCCAAAACTCAGCCGGGCTGGGAGGGGCCAACAACTCTGTACGGCAAGAGGTAGTGTTTCATCCAAACTGGTGCGAAGTTTTGACTATCCAGTTGACTGAGGGTCTGAGGGTTGCGTGACATTTGTTCCAGAGGGATGCCACCCTGATCAATGTTGGGGGGCTTTATGAATTATGTAGGGGTCAATATCATGCCAATATCTTGTTTCGCTTGCTGCAGGCCTTGCCACTACGTGCTTGGCAAGTGGAAACAGGCTGAGGTCAGGGCACTCAATATTGCGGGTTTTGCTTGCCAGGACATTGCAAGGCTGTTGTTTCCGAGTTGGTGCCGCTTTTGCAGTGCTGTTTGCACTCACAACCCAGCCCAAAATTATTTGAGCACCCAACCTTCTGTGGGGGGAAATCAGCAACAGACGAGTTGACAGCTGACAAGATGCATATGAAGTGTGGCGACGGATATGCGGAAATGTAAAGCTGTCGATTGCCGAACAGACTCTTGGCTGTCAAGCGTGACTTGCTGTCAAGCCGGCACTGCGAATCATTCCAGTCGGCAACAATCTTCGAACAAAGGCACCCTTACCAAATGGTGGACCCACGTTTGGTTGGTAGTGAAAGGGAACAAGACAACCATTGATGTCTGAAAATAGTGGAGCCCCTTTCGGATCTCCCGGTTTCCAACAATCATGGGCCTGGACCATTTGGGGCCTCCCCCGAAGATTTTGTCTTCCAAAACACTCAGATCCTCAACACCCATGATTGCTGGGAGGGCCCTGCTGTCCAACATGGAGCTTCCATTGTAAAGGAACATGGTGGTTCCAGGACCCCTCAGGTGGAGGGGAGTAATTAGCGATCAAATGCATTTGCGCTGCTTCTCTGGCAATGTGGAGGGTTCGAAGTCGTAGTTGGACTACCATCCCACTACCCTGGTTACCTGACAGGGCGTCGCAGTAGACAAAAGGCACACATGCGCATGTCTAGGATGCGGACCGATGAATATGTTAAGCTGCCCATTTGGACGGATTGCATGTCATAGATGTATGTGATCGTATGTGCCATTTCCTTCCCCCTGCGGCCTCATCAGAAAATATTGTATTTGCGGGATTTATTGTGGGTGGACGAAATGCATTTCACTCACCGTTCAGACACCCTTGAATGATTCGATTCTCCTGTAAATTCCAACAAACAATGGTTTCAACCAGGGTTTCAAAGTGGTGCAAAATGGATTTCATCCATCCTCAGTAGGGGAAACCCCACAAATGGTGGCTTTCCTTTGGGTTTCCCTTAAACCCCAAGAAAGAAGGGTACCGAGGATCAAAAAGAACCCAAATGGTGCCCTGTTTTTTTTGCTAAACTCTTGGTAGAGTCGTCTCAGTTGAGGCGCCGGTGCCTGACCTGGCGACCTTTTGCAACAGTCTGTTGGAGGAGGCGAGCCAGCAGAGCTTCGTCAGTCAGGGTTGCTCCGAAGCCTTTGAAGCGTAGGATTTCTCCTTCTTCCTGGGTCCTTTGGGGAGTCTGAGCCTTGAATCACCCATCATGTCCGGTAGCCCTACGCTGGATATGTTGTGTTAACAGCTTGCCACAGCGCGCCTCAAGCATACATGTAAGTTACGCGTCTGTTAGCGCAAAGGTCCTTGATGTTCGAAAGAAGATATCCACAAGTGATTTGCCTGTTTCTGCGGTTTCTGTTCACATGATATTATGAATATGCTATTTTCAGGTCCACTAAACATGCACCATAATCTAAACATTCATATCGTATTGGTTGACGGAAAACGCCGCATGAGTTTGAAGCGGGTTTCACTCCTGGTGATCAGTCAGCGCACAGAGGTTGCTTGCCCACTTCCCTTTTTGGAAGCTCCAGAAGTGGCGATATGCGGCGATTTGTTTAAATGGAACTCACAGTTGATTGATCAACTTTTGATTTGGGGAAATCCAGTGACCCCTGTCCAGACTCACCAAGTTCCCATGACCTCTTGGGGGAATGTTCGGAAATCATGTTGACCGGGGCTCGTGTTCTTTGGCATGGCGAATCTGAGAGACCCCCAGGAAGCTCGATTCCCGAGTTCCGGAAGGACTTTGAACTTCTTGCGCAGACCAAATTGGTGGTAAACAGAAAGCTCAGACTTTTTTTTGGCCAAATCGCCTGAAGGGCACGTGTTCGTGTTTGGGCTGTTCACTGTGTCTTCTTTTTGCTTCCCTCCGCCACCATGGAACCCACCATGGGGCTCCAAAGGAATATAGTCTTCCAGGGCACTTGGGTCAGCTTCCATGTTGGTGAACAGCAGAGTCCCCCTTTTTGTGTGGTTCGAAAGGAACACAGAAATGAAGCGAGCCATTTTGGGGGGTCCAACCGTAAAGACTGGTGGCAGTGTTGACGTCATAAGTGATTTGTCCTGCTTGATTGGGGGAATGTGGCCGGCTTTGTGTTCACAAGTGTTCCACGGGCAACAAACAGTTCTACACCCTCCAGATGTTTGCCCACCCATCACCATTCACCAAACAAGGGAGCAGACTTGTCAATCGTGTTGGTTGACGAAATATGAGACATAACCTGTTTCTTGGTGTACCTTGGGGTGGGTCAATCTCCCAAAATCAAGCCAAGAACAGGGCGTCCGAGCCTTCCAAAGATGAACAAATCATAAGGGATGAAATTCGGATTGGTTTCCTCTAGTTTCTCTTCTTCGCGAACCCATTTTCTGTCTTGGCGCAAGGAACACGCTTTGGAGCAGCCTGGTTAAGGATGATTGAGCGGCTATCCAGTTTGTCCGTTGTTTGTTTCACCTTGTTCCCTTTCAAGGTCGAGCCAAAACTAGGGGTCGCCCATTTCGGCTGCTGTAGGCTAAAAGGGGATGGATCATCGATTTGTCCAGACCACATCTTCCCCCTTTCATTCTCGCACCCTTTGGCCTTTTAAGAAACACTCCCACCCGCTTTTTGGCACCAGTGTCCAGCCCTAAGTGCAGCACACGGATTGGAGGCATTTCTGCGGTTTCCCCATGTTGCTCTACCAGTTGTTCCTCTTTTAATACTCTTGTAGTACTCTGTGGCTATCCTAGAGGGGTGGATTTTCAAGAAACCGCCTGCAAGCCGTTTCTTAGACAAAGGGCGGGGAATTTGCCTCCGAGCCCAAGTCCTGCGTTCCACTCGTCGCGTAGGGCAAGGTGCCGGAGCCAGTGCCCAAGGCCAAGGCAAAGGCAAAGGCCTGGCGCAGCGATGTTGTCGGACCGTGCCTTCTATTTGGTTAAGAATATGTTTATGTTCCCCTCTTGGTTTTAAAGGGAATCTATCACTACTGGAAATATTTTATTCTTTTCCAGGGGACTTTCCGAGTCATCCGTGAGTCTCCCGTCACCGTTCAGAAACCTTGGTTGAAACCACGAGGTATATGTTGATATTGAATGGGAAATCAAATGATTCCACGGTTCCTTAAAATGGTGCAGGATCACCACCGTTCAGAAACCCTGGAATGATGATTCCCCTTGTGAATACCAAGACACAATGATCTCCCACGGTTTCTGAGGTGGTGCAATGATGATTCCGAGTTTCCCCCAACTTGAATGCCAAGAAACGTTGCGGTTTCAACCATGGTTTCTTAGGTGGTGCGAAATGGATTTCGTCCACTCACAGTAGGAATCCTTTTCTAGGTTAGTTTGGTTGGAAATTGACGGGTTTCACTGGTTTTGATTGGTTTTGTTCCATTTACCAGTTTGTGTTTCCACAAGGTCAGTTATGATTTGGACTGTTCGGCCTTCTGAAAAGTATTGGCCGTTGCGCTGACTCTTGAACCTTTGGCTTTTTGTACTAGGGAAAATGTGTTGCGTGTGTGTTTCTCACTAAACCGACTGCAAAGGCAAATGCCACATAGAAAGATTGCAGGTAAGCCTGGTC